AAATTAAGTGACTTGATTAAGGTCACACAGCTAAGGTAGACTTCAGACTAAAACTCAAATCTTAACTGCTGGTTAGTGTTCTAAAAGTCCAAGAAACATATTATTATTTTGTTACTTAATAGCTCTAGTAAATGATTTAGAAGTCTGAAGTAAGCTCCTTGAAGGAAGATATAATTTCCATTTTTGCCTTCGTATCCCCGATGCTTAACAAATGCCTGTTGAAGCAAACTGAATCGAAGGAAGACTGAAAAATTTTAACTAAGGTTTAGAGTTAGTGATTTCAATTATTCGTACTATTTTATATTCCTATCTTTCCTGGCCTTGATTTTTGGTGAACAAAAACTAAAAATAAATGTAGATCTCTAAAAAGATACTTTTTTGGAAAAAGCCTAAAAATAAAAATTCTAAATGTTAGTAAGTGCTAAACCTAGTCAACAACCTTTATTGCTATAAGGACTTTATTAAAAACTCAGAGTACAGTGAGACTTAAGGGTTTGTAAAGTGCTTTGAGATCCTCAGTTAAGAATACAAACCATTTTATGAGACAAGCAACCTATCTGTATTTTCTTGCATCTTTCCAACAGATTGTATCTTTCAGTAAAAGTGAATGTGTGTTTTGCCTAAAATTATATTGGGTAGTGAAAAAACAGCACAGATATGTCAAACCTAGGAAGGGCTTTTAGAGATCTAGTTCAGTTGCCTCATTGTACAGATGACTATTCACCCAGGGAGAGTGACGTACTCAAGGTACAAATTAAGCTACAACAGTCAAAACTAAGAACCCAGGTCTTCTGAATCTCATGCACAGAAATTCTGATAAACAGATTTCTACTCTTATAAGCAAAACAGTACATCTTAGAATTCAAAAAGCCACAATTTTCAATTAGTACCTGTTCCTATGGAGATGTTTAACAAGTTGATGGAGGCATGTAAAAAACTCAATCCTACATCATATTGACTTCCAACAAGGAAAACATTCCATCAAATTCTAGACAGATGAAAGCTTTGCTTACTATGATACCAATATGGGAGCAAATTCCATATATAGTACAATAGGTAACCTTTAAAAAGAACAAATATATTTCCTAATAAATTTTTTTAAAAGAAGCAAACAAAGGTTGGCAATTATGTATCTTTTTTTGCATTTCACTTTTATTTTCCAAGGTTACAATTAGACTTTTCTTTCTTTTTCTTTTTAGTCTCAGGACTAACTACCCTTGTCTGTTTGCCCATGCAGATCACCATTCTTAAGTTAAACTATTTTCTAAGAACAAGCTATGAGGGCACAGGTTAAGGTTTAGTCAGTCACTGCCAGTTATAGTAAAACCCAACAGTATGCATACCACAGATGGATTGAATTGACATATCATACTTCTTGAGATGGCATGTTAACTGTCATCAGTTATTTCTTATAGATCCCTTCTTTTTATTAATCTAGCTACTCTGGATGTATTCTCTTAAATATGCTGTTAAAATACAATGGTATGTTGACCATTTAATCAATGGTTAAACACGGGGTTTTGTTACATGAAATTCCAAAAGTGCACAATAATGTGGACACTTTGCAGACAACCTAAAAGTCTGAAAAAACCAAAAAACTATACAAATGATTAGTGCAAATTAAGATTTAAAGACACTCCAACTGCAACATTCATAACACGAAGTTAATGACCTTCACTAACACACACATTGAATTCTATTTGGAAATGCCCTTAAATGCCAAGAGCTTTTGACCTGCATTAGGGATTTACTGAAACATTAAACATAGAAAAAGCATCGAAAAAACTACCACCTTGCATTTATTTTATTACACTTTTCCTTCAGTGATGAACCCAAAGTGTTTGGAAATGGACACTACATTCAATAACTGCTTGGAACTGAGATTGCTTTAAGCTAAACCATCCTTTCAAAGTATTGCATTGTTATAATACCAAGTGGGGCTCAAATGAAGACCCATTTTTGAAGTCTTCATATTGAGAACAAGTGTTTTAGGAATATATGGATCTGTTGTCAAGACTGACATGAGGGCAAGGTGAAAAGCAAAGAGGAATTACACCCTAAACTATCAGGGGTATTAATATGGATCTTTGGTTATTTCTTTATTCAGTCAATAGCCCACAAGCACCAGCACTTATATTTCAGACCAAAATGCTACAGCCCTAGATTAACAACTCCCAAATTAGAAAGGGGGATATCCTGTTGTACAAAATAGTAACAAAGCTTCTAGAAGTTCCTTTATTTCACACTAATTTTCCCAGAGTATTCTGATCAGCTTTCTAAAATTTTTCTCTGACATGACTAAGTTTTGATGGCTGCCACCCATGAAAATGTCTCCTTGTAAGGTTTTATTAATTTTTGGGGGGGAGGGGGCAAGGCAATCATGGATAAGTGACTTGCCCAGGGTCACACACCTAAGTGAGTATCATGTATCTGAGGCCAAATTTGAACTCAGGTCCTCCTGACTCCAGGGCCAGTGCTCTATCTACTGTGCCATCTAGCTGCCCCCTTCCTTGTAAGGTTTTAAAAACAGACGGACAGGTAACGGTTTAAGTCAGCTGACGGATAGATATCAGAAATGAAAGCAATAAGCTTTGTTTCACAAAGCAAAAATAATTTCTGACCCAAGCTGTTTTCAATATTATCAATCAATCAATCAACTATTCCTGTTTAGGGGAGTTTCCACAAATACAATTCTGGAATTTTCTTCAAAATTCTGATAATTTTCTTCAAAAATAAACACACCCAAATAAAACAAGGAACAACTAATACATTCTTCTTCTTTGGTCCAGATTTGTGATTTCGTTAGCATCAGGACCTCTCTCTACCACTGGAGATCTGCAATTGCTTGGCAACATCAAGTCTTAAGAGTTGTTTCTTGAGTGGCTTGGCCAATAACATAGGCAATATCTTTCAAGACAAAACTTGAAGCCAGGTCTTCTCAACTCTGAGGCCAGGTCTCTAAGTACCAAACACCAAGCTATCTTTCAAAGTATTCATACCAAAGCAATTTCAGAAAGCTGTTTTTTCAGTTACTTGGCTTTCATATTTTTTGTTTCTTGGGGGAGGGTCCCAATCTGACCAAACACCACGTGGTCTGTCTTTCATTGTAATTTTAAGTTATTTATAAGATGAGTTTATTGCATCCCTAGAGCCAGCAGCTAACAAAAAATATATATTCTGATTTTAGCTGTTAGTTTGACATGGGTAGATATTTTTGTTTACCATCAATCCATCTATCTTAAATGCATTTCTCATATAGGTGCAAATACTCTCATGTACAGAAATAGCTGATCTTTTCTAGCCTTTTCAAAAAGTAAATGTCGTTTTTAACTGTTCAAATTTATGTATATGTAGCTTTTTTTTCTTACAATCTAATATTCAAGCTGCAACACAGACATAGTTCTTTGTTTATAATACAATGATATCTTTGAGAACTAAAGGAAATTCAGAATTACAGCTTCATCGTAGGACCTAACAGACAGAGAAGGGAATCTGGACATGTCAGGGCAATTGATGAACATTAATGGTTTGGAGCACTGACAAGAATAAATAAGCAAGCAAAGTTTCAAAAGCAAAGATTTAGGGAATTTCCCCACTATAAAATCCCCTATTGAAGCAGATACTTTTCTTTAGAACACTGGTTCCCAACCTTGGGGTCCATGGTATAATAAATTATCAAAAGGGGCTTCTATGACGCCATACATGCACAAAGCATTATCCTTCTGATCTCTACAAAGTATGCAACACGAGTGACTATCTCTGTTATCATGTGTTTGACTGGAATTTTTTTAACTTTTGGAATGAAATATATTTTCTTTTGCTATTGTGACTAATACAATACAAAATCATCCAAAGGCTATATGAATACATAGTAGCTTTTTGCCATTCTGCCTTTTCACAATCAAGAGGTAGCAAAAAGACAAATACTATCATGTGGGGAAGCTTTGAAAGTTTTAGATGTAAAGATGTAAATATGTGAAAAGGCTGGGAACCACTGCTCTATTACAAAGGCTACTTAGTATCTTTCATTGGAATGCTCAATTCTAATAGCTTTACAGCAATATTTAATCAATGAAAAACACAATTATTTAAATGATGCCATCAACATGGGACAGAAAATTCCCACTATTTTATTGCCCAGTGATGACATTCTTTGGTTTAAAAACATCTTCCCATTGTCATTCTTAGAATGTTTAGCTAAAAATTCTTTAAGTAGTACCTTAAACACCGTGGCTGTATATATGCTTAGTTCTGGCTCACATAGAATTCTACAGGTGTTAGATATTCAAAAGTTTTCACAAAATTAATCTTACTGCTGAGCTTTAAACCAATCAAGAGGTTACTGTGGCATAGTTAAGAGAGTGCTAGACTTAAGAGTCAGGAGACCTGGGTTCAAGTTCTGCCACCTACTAGCTATTTGAGAATGGGCAACTCACTTAAAACTTCTTAGAGCTGATTTCCCCAAATGTAAAATGGGAAGACAATACTTGCACTAACTACCTACTGCTGTGAGGAAAGTGCTTTGCAAACCTTAAAGTGCTATGTAGATGTGAATTATTATTAATGAAATAACATATATAACTCATGCTATTTCAACCACCATGTTGGAAGATTTGTTGGTTAAAAAATTGCACATACTAATAGCCCAAACAATATACTTCTTAGACAGGCACCAATGTCCTTTAAGTTCAATGATCATTTCCTCTACAAGACTTAAAAGATAACTCCAAATAGGTGACAGATCATTAACTAATTCAGAAGATGGCAGGATGAAACAGGGAAAAGGCAACAAGGGTGAAATGGCATTTTTTTAAATTGGATCCACTGTAGAAAAGAACGAATAATCTCCACAATAAGGAGAGTTATTCTATCAAAATTCTGACCTGTCTACCATCATGTCTCAGATGGCTTTTATTGTAGATCCTGGTAATTAAGATAGAGTCAATTTTGGATTAAAAAAAAGACATCAAGGGTCATTGCTTCATAGTGAAGAACAAAAATATATTTCAATAGTTTATTTTTCTCTCATGACTGGAAGAAGCCAAAGACCATACTGAGCCAAGGCATAAGTACCTCCTATAGGCAGGAATGGAAACACTGGAAACTATTAAGAGTGATATTTCTTTAACATCTGAGCAGGTATTTTTTTCCTTTACTTTTGTTTCCAAAAACTGAGTCTTGGATTATGACAGTGCTAATCTTATAAAGTCATAGAATTCAGAGTTGCAAGGGATCTTAGAGATTTAATCCAACCTCCTCATTTTACAGATGAGAAAAAAGAGGCCCTGGGGAAATCGATGCCTTGTCCAAAGCCACACAACTGGTTACGGTCAGAACCTGGACTAGACCCCAGATCTCCTAAAAACCAGTCCAGTGCTCTATAATAATGCAAAGTTTCTTTGAGATGTAGAGTGTTTCATTATGAATTGCTTAACTTTACTTATGTTCAGGGGTTCCAAACACATAAAGAAAATACTTTAGATTTTGTCCCTTCTCAATAACTGACTTTCAACAACAGGGCATCATTATTTCCATCACAAATAAGTCAGTAATTTAAGTCCATTTCAGAACTATAAATTTAAGACACTTCAGCTAAAGGAGCACAAAAGCACAACCTGGTTAAAAAACAATGAAGCAAAAGCAGAAATGAGAAATACTAAAAAAGGGCTGACGCTTTACAAAATCCTTCATTGCAAGTAATGGCCTACATTTAATCTATAATATGGGTAATGACAATGAGGCTCATGAGTTTTAAAAAATGAAAACCTGATTTGCTAACACCTTACACTAAAAAAGGCACACGAAAGCATGTCAACATTTTAAAAAACTGAATGTTGTTAGAAAAAACATACTTTTAGTTTGAGATCAAAGCAATTTTGATGTTTTTTTTATCTGAAACTTTTCATTATAGCAAAATTCAAAAGTTATAATTTATATAGGCCCTAAAACATTGTAGGGTGAACTCAGAGCAACTGGTAGCCAAGTTAATCTCAGAACTCTGGGAATGAGATTCACTGAGTAATCAAAACAAAATCATGCTAATTGCAACTTAATTGAAAATGCTACTAACAAGGAGTAAGAGCAGAAAACAAATCCGGTGCATACCAAATGAAGAGACTAAAATGGGCAGAGGAAAAAAAAAGTTATGTTCAAGACTATAAAAGGGTATTGCATGCACCATTATTTTGGAAAGTGCTTAAAAACTTTTGATAGCATCCCTTTAATTCTCAATTCTACATCAGTACCAGCAGACTGTGTAAATATTTTGGTTCCTCTGAAAACTAAAAACTAATTTTGCCAAATCTAATAGGCAATGTCCAAGTCTACAAACTCCATAAAGTCTTAAATAGCTCTTGCCCTTCAAGTAATCTCCCTTCCACCCCCCCCTTTTTTTTTGTAAAACCAAACTATCATTGACTTTAAGGAGCCAAAAAAGCTTTCAAATAGTTAACTAGTACTCTTGTGTCCCTGTTTCTCACAGAAGAAAATTGTTTCCAGAAGGGGAAAAAAAGTGCTACAGGAACACAGCAACATTCAAGCCATTTAAAACAAAAGGTAGATTATTTAATGCATTAATGATGTTAATCTGAAGATAAATAAATCCACAAGAGACTTTAAAAGTTTGAGATCTTTTCCTTTCTTTGCAGAGAGAAAACTTTTGAAAGTATATAGGACTAAAGATGTCAAAACAAAATTTAATTTCTTAATGTCCAGATAAAACAGTCTCAGTCCTCCCTGCCATTCTCATATTTTCCAATGGCAAAAGTGGTGGTTCTTTCAGTTTAAAGCACAGAAAATGTTAATTTCAAGAATAACTGGATGGCTTGCTTCCTGAATCGTCTTCTTGTGAGCCCATACTCTGCAGAAGAGGAAAAGAAAGGTTATTTTTTCATTATTTCCATGATTTTTGTCATCTATACAAAGTTACAATAATCTTTCTCATATAGTAATTTCACTTGTACAAAAAATTCATTTCAAATGCTGTCCACATCCAAGGAAAGAACTATGGAAGTTGAATCGCTATCACTTATTTTTACCTTCTGTTGAGTTCTGTTTCATCTTTCTGATGGTTCCTCCTATTGGTTTTAATTTTTACTTACAACTTCACTAATGTGAAAATATGTTTAATGAGAATGTAAATGTAAAGCTTATATCAGATTGTGTGCCGTCTTGGGGAGGGTGGGGAGGAAGAAGGGGGAGAAAAATTTTCAACTCAAAAGCATATGGAAGTGATTGTTGATAAATCAAAATAAATTAATAAAATTTTAAAAAAAGTTCATTTCAAGGAATCAATCTTCAATCTTCCCTAAATAAAACTAACAGTCATGATGTCAAGAACTGAAAGCCCTACTACAAAGCTACAAGAAGATTTCTCTTTCACAATACATAATAGGATGCTTTGGTATTTAAATATTACAATAATCTGAAATCCTAATTATATTCCAGAGGTAGCAATTTATATACCTTTCTCCTCCAGCCTCCCATTCCCCACTTTAAATAAAGAGAAAAAGTAAGCACCTTTTGCACAAACTGAGGATTCACTGTGATTTCTTGATCCATGGCCTTGAGCCGCTCATCAAGCTCTATACACTTCAGCATCTGAGATATATGAATTTATACTTAATATGATAAAAGGGAAATTGGCTTAAATTACAATTTGCTCAAAATATAAAGACAAAATGTGTATTAACCAAAACGACATTGTAATTAGGATTTCAAGTCTCAAAACAAATCTTTTTTCTTATACAAATTAACATAGAATACACACTTTTGTCCTCCCATCATCTTCACCTACACATCTAATAATGTCTACAATTTCAAATTCACTATGAAATTTTGCTAGGAAGATGGTAGAGAAAAGCCAGGAAATTGCCTGAGCTCTCCCTAGTTTCCCAAAGAAACAACATTAAATCAAGCCTCTAAATGGGTTCTGGAGCAACAGAACCTACAAAAAGATGGAGTGAAACAATCTTCTAGCTTAAGATACCTTAGAAGGACTTCAGGAAAAGTCTGTCTCACTTGGATAAAAGGGGAGGACAGCCCAGCACAGGCAGTGTCCAGGGCAAGACAGTAGAGGCTCTTAGCCATGGCACAGATCAGCAACCAAGGCTCCTTGATCTTGGCTCAGAGGGCTAGCTGAGGCCTCCAGGACCAGAATCCAGGTACAATAGGCACAACTAGGCCAGGCCAGCCCAGTACAGTGGGCAAACTGCCAGCACCTGAGGCCCCAGAGCAGAAATCCAGTAAGCAGGCCCCTAGCCCTCAGCACAAGAAGCTTCAGAGAGTGGCCCCTGTGCCTCAGGAGCAGAGCTCAACTTTAAAAGACACAAAATAGGCTAAAAAATAAGGAAAAATCAGAAAAGAGCTCTGACCATAGAAGGTTATTATTGTTATAGGGAAGATCAAAACACAAACTCATGGGGGCAGCTAGGTGGCGCAGTGAATAGAGCACCGGCCCTGGATTCAGGAGGACCTGAGTTCAAATCCAGCCTCAGACACATAACACTAGCTGTATAACCCCGGGCAAGTCATTCAACCCCATTTGCACAGCCAAAAAATAAAAAAAAAAAGCAAAAACACAAACTCAGCAAAGGACAACAGTGTCAAAATGCCGACATGTAAAGCCTCAAAGAGGAGTATGAATTAGTCTCAATCCCAAAAAGCCTTCTTGGTAGAGCTCAAAAAGGATTTTTAATTTTTTTTATGTTAGGCACTTGGGGTTAAGTGACTTGCCCAGGGGTCACACAGCTCATAAGTGTCAAGTGTTTGGTCTGAGGCCGAATTTGAACTCAGGTCCTCCTGACTTCAGGGCCGGTGCTCTGTCTACTATGCCACCTAGCTGCCCCCTCAAAGGGATTTTAAAAATCAAATAAGAGATATAGAAGATAAAGTAGAAAAAGAAACGAGAGTTATGCAAGAGAAAGTCAACAGCTTGGAAAAGGAACAATAGAAATTGACTGAACAAAACAATTCCTTAAAAAATACAGCTAGCTAAATGGAAAAAAAATCCACTAAAGAAAACAACTCCTTAAAAAGTAGAATTGGCCAAATGGGAAAAGTGGCACAAAAGCTAATTGAAGAAAATAATTCCTTAAAAATTAGAACAGGGCAAGTGGAAGTTAATATTTCTATGAGACATCAAGAATCAGCCAAACAAAATCAAAAGAATGAAAAAATAGAAGAAAATGGAAACTTTGCTAAGTTTACATTTACCATTTATATCAGCTTCCCTAGCACCTCTAAGATTCAAGTGTTTATGATTTTAATGCATTCAAAGACTTGAATGAGTGGTGGCAAAGAACTGGAAATTGAGAGGATGCTCATCAATTGGGGAATGGCTGAGCAAGTTGTGGTATATGAATGTAATGGAATACTATTGTGCTATAAGAAATGATGAACAGGCAGACTTCAGAAAAACCTGGAAAGACTTGTATGGTCTGATGCTGAGTGAAGTGAGCAGAACCAGGAGAATGTTGTACACAGTAACAGCACGTTGTGCGATGACTAATATTGATAGACTTAGCCCTTCTCAGCAATGCAAGGATCTAAGACATCTCCAAAGGCCTGTGATGGAAAATGCTATTCACAAAGAAGAAAGAACTATGGAGTTTGAATGCAGATCGAAGCATACTATTTGCTATTTTTTTTCTTCTGTTGTGTTTTGTTTCCTTTTTCTGGTGGTTCGTCCTATCGGTTCTAGTTCTTCCTTACAACATCACTAACGTGAAAATGTGTTTAATAGGAATGTATACATATAGCCTATATCAGATTGCAAGCCGTCTTGGGGAGGGAGGAGGAGAAAAATTTAAAACTCAAAAGCTTATGGAAGTGATTGTTGATAAATCAAAATACATTAATAAAAAAAAAGACTTGAATGAATGACAAGAAGCTCCCTCTGTTTCCTACTCCCTCTAACTGCAGGTAGTCCTCAACTGATGAAGACTAGTACACAGGGAAGTTGCTATGAAGTCAATTGCCCCTTGTTTCCTAATTCAAAGCACACAGGTCTAATATACTTTATCCTGAGTAGATTCGGTGAGCTAATAAGTTACTCATGCTCAGGAATGCTGCCACTCAGAGCTCCTACTCCTGGGGAAGATATTGCCGACAATGTCACCACATACATCAACCCCAGCCTTTAACAAGGCAACCGCCATAGGAGGTGCTCCTGTTAGGAGCAGGGAGAGAAGAATGGGAAGGATAGAAGTTTATGTATTTCTAACATTCTAAGTTAGAATATAAAATGCATTTTTGCCACTGAAACATGACAAATGATGTTTAGTTACAGTTATAAAGGGTACCAAGCACCTATATGAAATGAGTATGCTGGTATGGGAACCTAACCACCATTTTTATAAGCTTAGCATCTATGAGAAAATGTATGCTGAACTACACATTTATAAACAAACTTTGGGGATACAACCCATTAATAATCTGGGAAGTGCCTGCATTTGGTTCTAAGAATAAGTTTTTAAGGTATAGAAATAGTGAAGTCTTATATCTTATAACCCCTGAAAATCTCAATAACCAAACTAGAACATTTTACATTAATATTTACCTCCTGATCAATGTTATGAAGCATAGCAGGATTGTTATATTTTTCAGGATTATCATGGAAACTGACCATACCATCCTTTTGATTAATACTTGCAAAAATTTCACCGTCTTCTATCTGTAGATAAGAGGAATCACAGAGAACAGAGCTTTATTAAACACACAATAGGTAAAAATCAGTGACTCTTCAATTACAAGCCTGCTCATAACAGTTGGACTGTTAATTTTGACTTTTTTAGAGGAAAAAAAATCTTAAACACCTTTGCTAAATGTATTGCCTGGGTTAAATCTTCCAATTTGGAAGGAGAAGGTAGCAAATTTTAGTAACTATAATTCCATTAGGGACTGTGATGGATGGCAGAAAAATATCTGGGAATATCAAAATTTCTATGTTTACATATAAACACATTCAGAGTATGAAAAGTCATACTCTATTAAAGAATGGAAACAAATCTATAGGTACAGGTGTACATACAGACAAAGCTGGACAGGCTTCACTTATGGGCCTACTGATGGATGCCATGTGTTGTGAAAAGGCTAGTTTAGCTTAATTTGGAGAAGTTCATCTCCAAAAAGCTGTCAAACAGATTATGAATTTTTTGGGCCACAAGCCATAAAATTGTCTGTTAAAGTGAGGGGGTACTGAAATCTATTATCAGTGTAGGGAGTCCTCATGCTCTCCCTCCTCTCCTAGCTTCCTTCAAATCTCACCTAAAGTCCAACCTTTTACAAGAAGCCTTTCTTGCCCTACTCTTAATGCTCTCTCTCTGTTGATTTTCTCCAATTTATTCAGTATATATTTTATTTGTTCAGTTATTTGCTTGTTATCTCCCACATTATACTGTGAGCTCTTTGACAGCAGAGTGTTTTTGACATTTCTTTGTATCCCCAGTGATGAACACCATGCCTGGCACAGAGTGCTTAATAAGTGCTAATTGACTGACTGATGCTAATGAAATCTTTTGAAGTATTATAGTTCATTTGTAAACACATGAATTTTTGCCTATTATTTAGGCAGCATGAATATTTTTAATAAGAAGTAGCCAAATTTCATCTACATAATTATCTCAAGAATGACCTTGCTTACCATGTGAAGGACATATTTTTCTGCCTCCTGAGGTCCTGACAACTGTACACGACTTGCCATATCTTGTAATGACAATGTTAAAAATGTCTGAAATTGAGAAGCAGAATTTGGACATAAGTAGATACAATAGCTATGAGGAATGTATTTATCAGATAAACAATTCCACTTATCTCAATAGAAAAACTATTCTACTTTGTACTAATATTAAATTATTTCAAAATAAAATATGTGTGACAGGAAACTGAAAAATCCATACCCTCCAGTGGATGAAGGCATATGGGAGAGTAGAAATTTCAAAGAAAAAAGAGCAATAGGTCATTTATTTTTGGTGATACACAAGAAACCTACATCCCCACTTTCTCTCCCTTGAAATTAATGAACTATCTTGGATAGTTGGATATCCTCTGATATCCAACACTGATAAAATAGATGTTGGAAAACTCCTTTTACCACTGGCTAGATTTCTAACATTTGCACTTTTAGAGTTGGGTATATATACATATAAGCCAATGTTCTTTCCAAGTCACCCACCAAAATGTCTATCCATTTATTCTGTGGCACTGCAACCATTTGAGTTAACAAAATCAAGAATTACACTTGACAAAATGGGGTTATTTTTAGTCCAGAACGGTGCTTTTATCAGTGTAAAGAGCTGCATGGTAAGATAACTCCTTCTACCAATTACAGATCTATAATTTTTAGTTTTAGAGAGCTGCCTGAGGCACTAGAGCTTAAGTGATTTGCCCAGGATCCTAAAAACAGTATAAAGACTGACAAAGTCAGAGTCAGTACATAAACCTAGGTTGTCCAGGTCCCAGGCCATCTTTCTATCTTCTCTATGTCACAATGTTTCTCATGAAAAAAACAGAAAAGTAATTAAAGGATTAAAAGTGAGCACACTTCAAAACAGCTAGTTGGGAATTTTTTTTTCATTATTTATCCACACACCACAATTTAGTCCCACAGTACTAATGACCTCATCTCACATTCCACTTTTTCATTGAAAGCTTGTTTCAGTGACAAACATTAGAGCAGTGTCTCTCATACCAAAGGTCAGCACACTTACAAATTTCAAGGGAGTAAAATATGGGAACTGGTCCTAGTTCATTAGAACATCTATTGATACACCTCCATCCTCAATGCACTGTCACTTGATTTATTCCTCAGTCCTTGCAGTCATTCTATACCTGCTTTTCTCTCTTCTCCTGGCTACCCAAATCTGATCCTAAAAAAGTGAAAACCCAACTATTTTCCTAATAAATAAACTCCTACCCCACTACTTTTGGAGAAAAGATTTTTTAGAAGCCTCAGAAAAATCATGAGACAAAATATGAGAATTCATCTTACCTTTGTTAGCCTTTGAATGTTCTTCTTATAAAGAGAAGACAAACACTGCTTAACCAGCCCCATATTGTTATCTCTAGTGAAAGTTTCACTATGTTTGTTTACCAGATTTCGGAGTTCTGATGGATTATTGGTTGAATAAACTTGTGCTAATTCATGGTAAGCATTGCTAAGGGGCTATAGTTTTAAAAGGAGAAAACAAATTAATACACAAAGTTAGGTATATAGAAAGCAAACAAGTGGTGATGTTTTGTAAGTACAAGTAATGTAAAAAATACAAAAATGAGGACAAAAGACTATCTAAATAATGCACCAAGTTATTACTAGCAATAAAGCAAATGGCTTAGATATTACAGACAGGTCAGGCAATACAATCTGTTTTTCAAAATGAAAGTTAGTGTCAACAAAATTTTCTGGCTAGCTCCTGATAAAATGGAACATATAATTAATTAACAAGGCAGTATTCTGACTTTTCTTATACTATTAGGACTCTACCTTTTTCTAGCTGTTGATCATCCAATAGAAGAAAAACAAAAGATGACATAAGATGAACCATATCAACCTCCCTCACTAAATTAACAGGATAAATAGTTTTGCTATGGATATCATATTAATATTATAACTAAATTGTTAATTTATGCAGAAACAAAAAGTATAGGCATTGTCATTAGGAAACTATGGCATATTATAAAAGATTAGCCCCAAACCATTTCTTGAGAATGGCTGCTATGTGCCCTCTCATTGCTTTCATTCCTTGTTAAGAATGCTGATTCAACTAGTGTAGAACTTGATCTGGATGCTTTTACATCTGCCTTGTTATCTCCAACAAGCTAACTTAAAAACCTACTGTCAAGAATCCTAACCACTTGAAATGCTGTGCTCTGTATGTGACTGGATCATGAGGGGAACAAGGGGTCTATTAAACAGCTGTGGAAGGACTCCCTCACCCAGGAAGAAATTCCTCAAGTGGAACTTAAAGCATTATAAATTCTGTAAGTAGAGGCTAACCTAAATCTGATTCTTCATAGAACATAAGATTTTTTTTAATACAAAACACACTACGCAAATAATATTTAATGAAACAATTCTCTTTTATATTAACTCTACGATGAAACTAAATTTATTTTTATCTTAACAATTTTTCTAAGTAGAATACTTATTTTTCTTTAGAACACTCACCTTAATGAATCTACCAACAATCTGAGAAGTGTATTTTGGCAGCTGTTGAACTTTGCCCAGTAATATCAAAGAAACTAGAATATACTTCTTATAAGATTCCAACATAATATGACTGACTGCCATGGCAGGAGTAGTTATGGCCTGAGCAAGAAAAAGATGTTAGATTCAGTGATAACTAATAATAAAAGCTAACTTAAGGTTTGCAGATCTCTTTTCTCATTTGATCCTCACAACATTCCTGTGAAGTACGTGCTATTTTCAACATCTTCATTTTACAAATAAGGAAACTAAGGCTGAGAGAGGTTAAGTGATCTGCCCAGGGTCACAAAGCCAGTTTCTAGGGCAAGGTTTAAATCTAAGTCTTCTTAACTCCAAGTTTAGTGTTCTATCACTGCTCCATGGTACCTCTACAGTAGTAGATTATAGATATGCTCTAGCAAGAAGTGGTAAATCGCTAGGCATAGGATTCTTCTTACATAAGACTCAACACTCTTATGAAAGGTACATGCTTCATTTTTCTGGTACTGTCATTTTGCAGTTTTTAGATAACTGAAATTTCCTTTTCAAGTTCTAAATTTTGAACTATGATGAATAGTTATGGTAAAAAAAAAAGGCTACCTACTTTCTTAAACAAAGATACACTTTAAACACAGGATAATGAACATAATAATACATTTTCCTGATGACTCAGGGACATCATAACATATTTGAAAGCACATGGGACTTCAAGACAGAAGACCTGTGTTCAAAGCCTAGCTCTGTTGAAAGATCTTGAGTAAGTGATTTAACCTGTTTGTGTCTCAGTTTCCTCATTCCTAAAATGCAGACACCATTACTTCTTATTTATGAAAATAAGAGCTATTCTCCAATTGATAAATGGTCAAAGGATACAAACAGGCAATTTTCAGAAGACAAAATCAAAGTTATCAGTAGCCATATGAAAAAATGCTCTAAATAACTAATAATTAGAGAAATACAAATTAAAAGAACTCAATGGTACCAACTCACTCACACCCATCAAAATGGCTAACATGACAAAAAAAGGACAATGATAAATGCTGAAGAAGATGTGTAAAAATAGGTATACTAATGCATTGTTGGTGGAGTTGTGAACTGGTCCAAAGATTCTGGAGAACAATTTGGAACTATATCCAAAAGGCCAAAAAACTTTACATACCCTTTGACCCAGCAATACCACTACTAGGTCTCTATAGATCCCAAAGCGATAAAAGAAAAAGGAAAACCTACATGTTACAAAACTACTGAGAGTGGCTCTGTCTGTGGTGGCAAAGAACTGAAAATTGAGGGGATGTACATCAGTTTGGGAATGGCTGAATAAGTTGTCATATATCATTGTGATGGAATACTATTGTGCTGCAAAAAATGATGAAAGGGATGGTTTCACAAAAAAACTCTGGAAGATTTACATGAACCAATGTGATGTGAACAGAACTACGACAACCTTGTTCATAATAACAACAATATTGTAACAGTAATCAACTATGAAAGACTTAGCTACTCTAATCAATACAAGGATCCATGACAATTCTAAAGGACTCATCATGATGAAAAATTCTATCCACAGCAGAGATAAAACTGATGAATTCTCTGTGCAGACTGGAGTATATTTTTTTCACTTTTTCTTCCCTTTTTTTTGGGGGGGCAACATGACTAATGTGAAAATGTTTTAAATGACTTCATATATGTAATGGGTATCATATGGGTGGAGGGAGGAAGACAATTTGGAACTGAAAACAAAAAATTTTTTCAGAATTATCATTACAAAAAAAAGTAACAATAATAGCTAACATTTATATAGCAATTACTACATACCAGGCACTGTGAAAAGCACTTTACAATTATTATTCAATTTTATCATCATAATAATCATGGGAGGTGTTACTACCATCCCCATTTTATAGGTGAGGAAGCTGAGGCATATAGAAGTTACACAGCTAATAAACATCTGGGGTCAAATCTGAACTCAGGTCTTCCTGACTCCAGGCTTGGTATTCTATCCACTGTGTCATATAACTGCCTTCTCTGTCTACATTATTAATCTTCCATTTTGGTCTGGACCTGTGATTTTGTACGTAAAGTTTTTAGTGAAGAAACAACCTCTACCAATACATATCTACAACTGTTCTGCAATTCACAACCTCAGACCTGGGGCATTAAGAGATTAAATGACTTGCCCTGCGTCACACCAATATGTGTCACAGGAGACCTGCACATAAGTCTTCCTGACTGAGGTCAGCACTTTCCATCCACTATACCGCCACTCTCCAGTTTTTCATTACAAGGACCATATCTACTTAGATTACTTATAGCTTGTTCATTAGAATCACAAGATCTTAGAACTGGAAAACGCTAGTTAGAAATCATTTAATCCAACCTCCTTATTTTATGGATGAGGAAACAGAGATGAAATGATTTTGCGCAACAGTTACTTATGGTTGAGCTTCAATGTCTTGACTATATATAATTCAGTGGTCATTCTGTAGCTATGTCATGTAAGGTACAAGGGGGCCAACCTGTCAATTTCAAAGTACTTTATAAATATAATTATCATTACTAGTATTATTACAACATCCTGGCTTCCTTAATTAGGACTATGACCCTTTGGGTATTCTTTAGGTTATGGTATTCTAATTCACAAATGTATTGTTTGTTTATCCTTAAGAGCTAAAGAGTCAAAAAGATTATCCATATTTCACCAAAAATTTAGATTACTATTAAAACAATGTTTAATGATAATTTTTTTTTAAAGAAAAGGAATATCTACCCTCAAAACTAGAACCTCTTAGAACAATCTAATATATAAAACTGTTTTTTGGTCATAAAAGTTAAGAAATAGTTACCTGTTCATAAAAGTAGAGTGCTCTTTCAAAGTTCTTTAGCCCCGTGTAGATCATTCCACCATAGTAGTAGTAACATAAAAAGTGCTTTGCATCATAAGCCCCATTCTCTTTACAAATGTCCATCATATCCACATCCAGATAGGGTAAGGCAGGCTTAAAGCATTTTGCCAACAAACAAAGCTATAAGAAAAGAACAAAGCATTAAATTAACTTGAATACAAGCAGCAATTTCACAGACAAGGAATTTTTTGGAGGAGAAATGGTATTAATATGTTTAAGCTAACAATCGTTATATTTTAAAAAGCTAAACTTGAAGGGAAAGCACATTATTCTTTTAACTATTCACAAGGAATCAACATTACTGCATTACCCAGTCAATTGGTTATGAAGATGGATAATTAAAATAATTTCAGATCTCCAGTTATAAGTATTTTATCATCTCTTAGATCAGTCTATTCTACTTTTGGACAATTCTAAGATTTCCCCCCCAACCTTCATCAAGCCCATTTCTACCATTTTGCAACTAATCTATATATAGTTCTACCCTCTGAAATAAAGTAAAAAAAAACTCTTCTTCTATATTAAACACCTTCAAATACCTGAAGTCTCAAATTTTGAACAGATGGCTTGTCTTAAGAGTCAAGAAGACCTGGGTTCCAGTCTTGCCTCTGACATACCAGTGATATGAGCCAGGGAGAGGCACAAACCTTTAAGGGCCCCTAGCCAATTCTTTAAGAATCTAATTGCAAATGACCTGCATGTTTGCACTGGGAAAAGCAGTTTCCGTATCAAGAGTTCTCTACACCACCACTGACAAAAACAGTACTGCCAGTGCTCACCACCAGCTCCTGCTCATTGAGCACTCCTGACACTGCTTACAGGACCATGCCACTTTTCTTCACTCACCCTCAGTTACCTGCTTTTGAGTCTCTACATATAGTTTTTAAAGTACAAATTGGCTGATGAGTTTCCTATGTATCTACATCTACTTCTTTTGAGAGCTCTCTCTTTTCTTACTCATCCAAATAACTTGTCATCAAGATTTCATGTCTGAGAGCTTTTCATCTCCATTGGGTTGATTTCTCTGTAAGATTCTGGGCCATGGGATTCTTGGCCATGGGACTCTCTGACTCTGAAGTTAAGTTCTCTCCAAAATTTAAGGTGCGTGTTAGACTACACGTCACTGTTCTCTCTTCTTCTAGCAGCACCTTTGAGATGGAATAGACACTTCCTCTGAAGATTCCCATTTCTACTTCAGCAACTAGCTCTCTTCCTTATTTGGCAAAATCAGGTCTAGAATAGCATTCCCCCTTGCTACTTTTCCCATCTTTTGAAGAATTAAATTATTGGTAAGGCAAGCCATAAATATATTAGCTATTCAGCTTTGGAAAAGAAAGTATTCCAGCACATATGGGGATAAGAGAACTCTTTTATCATGACTGTATCATGCCTCTGTGCTACATTTATGATGTTTTTCTTCTTTCTGGATAGATGATCTACAGTATCACAATATCACCTCTATTTCATTTTTCAATTTATTCTACCCCAAATATTTTCCTACCACACTTCTTGATTTCCTCACAGGAATATAACTTCTTAATACACAATGCTAGTTTGCTGCCTATTTTATCCATTTTCTTTCCTTTAGAATAAAGTATACAACTCCACAGTCACATTCTGGTCAAGTCCCATCCTGCCAAAAATGTCACTGATAACCTATATGAAACCAAATTTATTTCATTATGTTAAAATTCCTACTTCACATGAACTTTATGTATAGACATACAAGACCACGGTTTTAATCGCTGGCTCTATTTTTTGATAGTTTCCTATGAATTATCAGTCCTTACTATTAATATTCTCCTTCCTATGTTTTGCCTGTTACTCTCCTTTGATATATCTTTTGGTAGATAATTATGAGCAGTTTTCTTCTGTGCCCTTAATTTTCAGTTAAAAGATGAAATCTGCAAGTCTCCATGAAAATAATGGCTACCAAAAATAATTTTATCAGCCCTAGGTAGGTAGATGATAAAAATCCTACATCTGGTTCTTTGGTCCAGAAATCCAAATTCCAATCTCAGTTCAATTCAATAAACAATTATTAAGCAATGCTACATGCAAGGAACTGAGCACAATACAGGGAATTAACACAAATCTATAAGACCAAGAAGTGTTCCCCAGTGAATAAATGAACAAAGGATATGAACCTCGTAACCACCACATGAAAGATTGTTCCAAATCACTGATTATAAGATAAATGCAAATCAAAATAACTGTGAGATTCTACCTCAAATCAGTCAGACCAGCAAAAAGGAAAACAGCAACTGTTGGAAGGGACTATGGAAGGACAGGAACATTAATAAATAATGCATTGGTGGACCTATGAATTAATCCAACCATTCTGGAAAACAATTTGCAACTATACCCCAAAAGTCACTAGAGAGTGCATACACTAAGAGGAAAGAGGCTGAGAACAAAGGCAAAAATTACTCAATCAACAAGCATTTACCAAGCTCTCACTATGAGCAAACACTGTGAAAAGAAAAAAAAAAGTATATGGACTTCATGTCGAAACACAGTAGAAACAAAGCAGGTGAATGTCCATCAGCTAGGGAAAGGGAGAATTAATTGTAGTTTATGAACATGATAGAATATTGTTGTACCATAAGAATCTATGAATATGATGCAATAATAGAAATTTGGAAAGACTTGTACAAACAGATCGAGAATGAAATGGATAGAACTACAAGCACAATTTAAACAATTACCATAATAATGCAAAGGAAAAAACTCTGAAAGACTTCAAAGCTCTGATCAATCATGACTTCAGAAGAGTAAGGATGAAGCATGCTTCCCACTTCTTGTCAGAAAAGTAATGGTTTAAAAGTACAAAATAAGGCATAGATCTTCAGACATGATCAGTATGTTGACTTGTTTTGCTTGACTATACTTATTTGCATAAGTGTGGGTTTCTACTTGGGGGGGAACAGTGGAGTGAATAAGTAGATAATGACAAAGGCAAAAAAGAAGAATTAAGAAAACAGCACCAATGAAGCACTAAAAATACAAAGACACATATTATTTATATCAAAGTTCATGGTTTTATATACGGTCATTTTTTCCATTCTTCTTTGTGTAGCAAATGTTTATGGGATCAAAGGCTTAGACCTGGAAAGGTCCTTGGAGACGCCATCTTTTGACAGCTCAAGGAATGTAACTGACCTGCCCGAGGTGACTCAAATAGTATCAGAGGCAGAATCTGAACTCCACTTGGCTCTTAATCCAGGGCCAGTGCTCTTGACACTACGCTGCTCTGCTTCATGTGGATGACTTTAAAGCTCATAACGAAAAAGAATACTCTTTAAAATGTAAAACACATTCTTGAACTAAAGTGAGAGCTCCCATCCCCTCCGCCCCCAAGTGCCAGGTACCATATCCAGGGCCAGCATAGCCATGGGTCCCTGCCCATCTAGTTCTTCCTAGAGAGGTAAGTCAATATGGATTCTAACACTCCCCACAAAGGAAAAGGGGCACTGGGTGTGGCCATGCAAAGGAAGTATAACTGGGGCCTGGGAAGAAGAGGAAACATAACCCAGGGCAAACTCACTAGAGGGACAGTTTTCCAGAGCGGAGGACAAGAGCACTAGAAACCTAGATTGGGTCTGTCTTCTACCTTGGGCAGCTGGGGGCAAAGCAGGGACAGAGTTGGGCTTCCCACTTCTTATCATCCAAATCCAGCCTCAGACACTTAACAGCTGCATAACCCCAGGCAAATCACTTCACCTCTTTCTGCCTCAGTTTCCTCAACTTGAAAATGGGGATAATAAGAGCACCTACTTCCCAGGGTTTCTGTGAGGATTAAATGAGACAATAATCCTAAAGTGCTTAGCACAATGCCTGGTACTATATAAATGTTAGTTATGATTATTATTACCTCCATGGAGTTTATTCTAGACCAGAAGTTTGTAAACTTTTGATGATGTGTTTTGATAGTCTGATGTTTCCTCAGAATTTATTTAAATGAACATAATAAAATACATAGCATTACAACGGAAACAAATTAGAACAAAACGCAATCATCAAAATATTAAATAAGCTTGTGGACTCCAGATTAAGAACAGTGGTTCTAGACAAAGAGTTGGCCAAGCCCCAGTAACTCTTCCCTGAACTCCTAAACAAGCAAAGGAGGCTAAGAATACACAGGGCAGGAGAAAAGGTCCATGTCATATCAGCAGTTGGAGAAGAGACCACGAGTGAGGAGGGAAGCCAGAGATGAGCCACTAAGAAAATAAAAAAAGAAATAGAAATATAAGATATAAAATATATAAAAATAAATAGAAATATAAGGAAAAAAAGGAAGCCAAAAGACAAAACTCCAAAGAGAAAGGCTGGGTAGAAGCCTAACTCCTAAACAGCTAAAAAAAGACTTGTAAATAGAAGCAAAAACAAGCAAAGGCTCAAAGAAGGGTCATAATATGTTGAACAAGTATTATACTATGAAGGAAAGTTAATAAAAAATGTCCAGTGAAAAAGAAAAATCTCCAGAGATCATAGCAAATCAGCAAGAAACTCTAGAATGGTTCAAAAGAAGATTTTAATGAAATTATCAGGATAGAAATGACATTGGAAAGTAAAACTCTCAAGAGAATAAACAACCAACCAAGTAGACTGCTTAAAATTTACCACAGAGAATCATGCCAAAGTAATAGAGAATTTGAAAAGAAAAGAGCCATATTTGGATCAAGAAAAGAAAAACCATGAGCTGAAAAAAATTTGAGAAAAGAAAAGCAAAACAATAACTTCGAAAAACTACATGAATCCTACACAAGTCTATGTGAATGCCCTTGAAAGACAACATGTACCAAGATAGCTTAAAGATCACAGGTTACCAGAACGAGATAAATTTAAAGTACTTGACATATCGCTCATTTATAATGGAGGAAATACAAACCTAACAGCCAAAGGAAGAGACTTAGATGCCCCTAAAAATCAGAGAAATGTAAAGGTGACCTCAAAAGACCAAATGTATCTATCAGAATAGCAAACATATTTTAAAAAAATAAAAATCTAAGGCTGGTGGGGATATGAAGAAATAAGAACATTTTATGTTAGCAGTGAAATTACAGACTAGTTCAAGTATTCTGGAAAACAATATGCAATAGTAGTCGTAAGACTGATCACACCCTTTGACCAAAGCTAAGTGGCATACTAGATCATGTACTGGGCCTGGAATCAGGAAAATCTGACTTCAAATCTGCCCTCAGGCACTCCCTAGTATGTGACCTTAGGCAAGTCACTTAACCTTTTCTGCCTTAGTTTCCTCAACAGTAAAATAAGGATAATAATAGCCCAGGGTTACTGTGAAAATGAAATGAGATAATATTTGTAAAAATGCTTAGCACTATATAAATGCTTATTCCTTTTCCTTATACCCTATTGAAAAAAGAAGAGCTAAACTGAAAGGAATGATTTAGACACTACCTGTCCCCCAAGGTCTCTTGCCCAGGATTTCATCATCCTTAACAATATAATCTATTAGTATCATTTGTCTCTATGTGAATCATTAAAATTGGATAGCTATCAACTTTGAAGTCTCTAAAGGCTATCATTTCCCAGCTTTAGGCCTATGAAAACTGTAATATTTCCCTATTGATCATAACAAATACTAAAAACCTTAAATCTTTAAGTTTATTGATAATACTACTTCTTACCTGGCAGAGATCTGCATGTATTGAGGTCAGCTGGTTCGTATTCATCTGCATCTTGTCTATGGCTTGTCTGAGGATACCAATTCCTCGCAGGGGCTGTCAGAAATGACATCTCTTTCAGATAAGTTCTCATAGATGGCAGCACATTGGATCTTATGTTGTCACTTACAAATAAAAAAAATACTAATTGATAGGTTCCTTTAAACAACAATCTGAGGTTTCCATATCCTTTCAGGAAACTGTTGTTTTCACTTAATAGGAAAAATTGGCCTTAATGTTTAAAAGAATTTCTTATGACACAATACAACTTCAGCACTGACTTTGAAAACCAGAAAATTATTTACAATGGAAGTCAGTCTTTCAAAGCACTACGACTTCTTCAATTTTTAATGAAGAAATTTTAATTTTTAATTAACTTTAAACAAACAAAATACAGAAATTCTGTGTATATATAAATATACAGAAGTTCTGGAATATCATCAACCTCTTAACATTCTAGGAAACATCATTAAAGGCTTTATCCAGAATACATCTAACAAAGTAAAGTGAGCTGGGTCATGTACCAAACACAAGAGACAACAGAAGAACAATCAGTTATACTGTTAATATTGCCAAGATACTAAAAGAACAAGAAAAAGGTTTCCAACAAGCTGTGCTGATCCTCTCTGGGTGACTTAGGGGATAATAAGAATCACATTAAGATAAGCAGATGTGGAAAGGCTGTGATCTGCATTAATTAAGGGAGTATATTGAAATCACAGATATCACAAAGTATTATTTTTGATACATAAACTAAATTAAGTAAATTAGGAAACTTTAAATTGTTGTTAAAAATGCCAGCATTTGTTATTTGGGAAAGCCAATTAGAACAGCATAAATCTTCCTCCCAAGAACATTACCTCATACTTGAATTTAAGACTGAAACAAAATACTATCAAATGTAGGACCTTACACTGTGAGGTGTGATTAAAGGAAGGACACTCGGTGATTTTTCTGGGTGACATCATTTTATAGTCATATTTTAAATATACTTTTTTTTTTTTGGTGAGGCAGACAGGGTTAAGTGACTTGCCCAGGGTCACACAGCTAGTAAGTGTCAAGTGTCTGAGGCCACATTTGAACTCAGGTCCTCCTGACTCCAAGGCCAGAGCTCTATCCACTGCTCCACCTAGCTGCCCCACATTTTAAATATACTGAAGAAAATCACATGACAAGAGACTGGTTGGTTACTATGAGTCTTTCTTTCAAACTATAGTACTCTTAATAAGAGCTAACACATAGTTTGTATTTTCAGTCTCTCTCAGAACAACACATTGAAAACTATTTTAAACTCAAACAGATTAGAAAGGTAATATTCTATAATAAAATAAACATTAGATTGAGTCCTAAGACTAGTGCCTTAAACTTGAGGCACTGCTGACTAGTTAGATCACCTAAGGAAAGTCAGCTAATCCCTTTATGCCTATTTCTTCTACACAAAATGGTGAAATTAAACGATAGGGAAAAGTACTTTGAGTTGCTCAGGAGGTACTATGTACAAAGTATCAATACTATTAGCTTTAATCTTCAATCTAAACAAGTTAAGTTAGACAAACAGTACTGTATAGTGGGCTTATAATGACTAAATAAAATTTCTTACCTGTTTTCTTTCCACGAGAGCATTTGTTAACTGGTGGCAAAGACCAGCAACTAGATAAAACAATAAATAATTTAAAAATTCAAGTAACTATAATAAATATAAAACATTCAATAAAAAATAATAAATTAATATATAGCTTACAAGTGTCTGTTGCATATCTAATATGTTCCCCATTACAAGTGCTGATAAAAAGCTGAACCTGTGAGAATAATGTTTCGAAGTCAGGTACACTGGGCATAGAAAACTTCACAAACCTAAAATAGACAAAGATTCAATTACTTTCAGTTTTGGGGAGAGGAAACAAGCAGAGATACCTAGAAAATATAATTTACAGGTATGAATGCCAAATATACACAAATCTTCTACTCAATATACACAAATCTTCTACTTCTTCCTTGAAATGTCCTTTAAACCTTTTAAAAATGTCTTATGGGATGCCTTTTGTCTTTATCTCAGTTATTTCTAAAAAAACCCTTCCCTCCTTCTCAAGATTGAACCCTCCCTTATAACAAAGAAAAACAATTAAGCAAAAGTACCAGAAAGTCACCCTATCTGACAGGGTATACAATATCATGCCCCACAAATCTCTTGCCTCTTTGCTGAAAGGAGAGCAGTATGCTTCATTATCTCTGATTACCTCTGTATAATTAATGGATTTTCACTTACTAAGTGTCTGGCTTCCATTAGGTAACCTTTTCATTTATATTGCCATGGTCATTGTGTATACTTGTTTAGCTCTGCTTATTGTACTCTACATCAGTTCATAAAAATCTTCAAATGCTTCTCTGAATTTTTCATTCTTACTCAAAATATTTCATTACATTTTTGATGGGAGCAATGTCCTAAGGCTCTACCCTCATGAAGATTATGGTAGTTGTTCCTTAATAGATATTGAAACTGTCCTCAGGATTTAATTGACTCAGGGCTGTTGACATGGCTTCCTGTTCACTGAGTGAAAAACAGACAAGAAACAAGGGGCTGGAGCTCCTTGGTGATGTTTCTTACTGGAGGAAGGTGACCAACACTGCCACAGGAACGCTGTGCTCAGCTCAATCAGGAATATCTTCAATTAACATTTCTTCCCTGTTTGGAATATCCTTTCCCTGGTATGCTTCCCACCTCACATGAAAAGGTCTTCCTGCCTGTAAAGCCAAACACCTCTACAAGCACACATGGTAGTATTTATCTGGTCTTCTCTGGCAGATTGCCCCTTTATCCACCCCACCCCACCCCATCTCTCACTAATCTTTAATTTCTCTCAGTCTACTGGCTGCTTTCTTGCCATCTACAACAAACAAAACAAAAAACACTCACTTGATCCATCTATCACTACTAGTAATCATCCTTTAAATCTCCTTTTAATGCCCTTGATAACCTGCCTCCTTCCCACTTTTCCATTCTTCTACCTTATTCTACTCCTCCCACTCCTCCATCCCTACCTTCACTCCACAATGCCCTCAACACCTCCTTCCACATATTCTGTGATTTAGTGACACTGGCCTCCTTGCTGTTCCTTGCATAAGACACTACATCTCCTAATTCTTGGCTTTTTAGTGGCTATCCCTCATGCCTAGAATTCTCTCCTTCTCTTTCCTAATCTCTCTTAAGGTTAGTGTTTCTCTCTAAGATAATCTCCACTACATCATAAATATATCTTGGTTATATGTTATCTTCCCCATTAAGATTATGGGCTCCTTGAAGGCTGACTGTTTTTGCCTTTCTTTGCTTGCATCCCCAGCACTCAGCACAGTGTCTGGTACAGAGCAGGCACTTAACATATACTTGTTAATTTGAATTGACTTCTCCTGCTATGACTACATAAACTCCTTAAGTTTACATGCCAATCTTGAACCTAAAGTACCAACCCAGCCTGAGGCAGGTCTGACCAATTACAACATTTATATAAGCAGGGTTTTGTGTTTTGTTTTGTTTTGTTTTCCCCAGCCATTCATCAAAGAGCACCCACTCTTACCAGAGAGTGCTGTTATAAATATCTGGATTTGCATACTGACTCTTGAGAGGTACAGAAGCAAAATGAATAGAGCACCAGCCACAAATCCAGGAAGATTTGGGTTCAAGTTCTGCTTTTAACACATACTGGCTATGTGACCATAAGCAAATCATTCTGAAGCACTCCTGATGCTCAAGGTAACTAAGACTGTAAGTTGCAGAGAAACTGCTGACCTGGGAGTTCCCCATACCAGTGAAATCTCTATCACTACAGTGGGTCTTAAAATGTAACTCCTTGGGAGTAGGAGTTATTTCATTCTTTGTATTTGTAGTTCTAGTGCTTAAAAATGAAATGCTCACTAGCACAGGGGGATAGAGATAAGCATAGGGAAGGCACTTAAATGCTTGTTGACTGATTGTTTCTGTCTCTAATTTTAGAATAGAACTGTTGGTTCCAGGGCATGGATAGTTCGTTCACTCTTTCATAATTCCAAATTATATTCAGAACAGCTGGGCTAATTCAGAGTATTAATATTTTAATTAGTCTTCACATTTTTGACAGTCTGGTATATTTCAATCTTTGTTAGTTTGCAAACACAACAGTTGTTTTTGATTTGTTGAACTGGGGATGCAAACATTTTCCCACTTAGTTTCTTTTTTTATTCTTTTTTCAATGATTTTGTTACAGCAGAAACTTTAATTTTATGTGATCACAACTTTTTTCTTGCTTAAGATCTCCCCATAGCTATGGTTGTGAAAGGTACCTCCTCCACTCTGTTCTAATTTTTTTATGATGTAGCTTAATTCACAAGTTGTATATACATTTTTACATTTTATATTATGTCTAAGATATTATGTCAACTGAATTTCTACAAAACTATTTTCAAGTTTTTCCCATCATTTCTTGCAAAAAGGGAATGCATACCCCCAGAATTTATGCACTTGAGTTTATCAAACACTGGACTACTGTTTTCAGCTGCTTCTGTTTCCTGCTTATCTAGTCCGTTCCATTGATCTACTTTTTCTGTTCTTGAACTAGTACCAAATAGTTTTGATGACTACTGTTTAAAATGTTTTTCAAGATAAAGTTTTACATGTCCCTTCCATTTGTACTTTATTTTACGCTTTTTTGTGCTTTTCATTATTTTTTTTTTAGATTCTAGACCTATTATTCCTCCAAATGAACTGTTATTTTGTTACATTCTATAAAGTATCCCCTTTGCAACTTGATGGCTATAACATCAAATTCATAAAATAATTTAAATAGCAACTTTTTTGTTATATTGGAACCACCCAATCATGACCATGAAATATCTACCCATTTGTATTTTCCTATATTTTTGTAAGTGTTTTTTGTAGTTGCATTTATATTGGTCTTCTGTCTTGGTCAGTTAGCTTCCAGATATTTTATGTATTTTAGCAGATCTTTTGAGGGAAATTTCTCATATTATCATGGTTTCTTCCTGGTTTTTGTTAGTCCTTTAGAGAAATACTAATGATGTTTTTGGTATACCTATCTGAATTTGAATTCACAAATTTTACTGAAGCTATTAATCATTTCAAGTAGTTTCTTCACTGATTCTCTAGGTTTTTCCCTCTAGTCATTCATTCATGGCTTGCAGGATTGCTTTTTCTTAGAATTCTGAATTAAGATCTTTTTCCTGTTTAGGTATTTGGCATTTTTGTAGATATTCATCTGCTTCCTTTGGATTTTTAGGGTTTGAGGGCCTGTAATCAAATATGGTATTTTTGTTGTTGTTTGACTAGCCCAATTATTTCTCTGGTACAGAGAACTTATTTTACCAATGCAAAGAGGCATTTGCTCTGCAAGTCAGAGGAGGGACTTGAATCCAGGTATTTTTTCACTCTGAGGCCAGCTTCTATCTGCTATTCCATACTGCCTAACTTCTGTGTATATTAGTTGTGTACAGTAGTTTCTGATACTTCTCTTTATTCACTTTTTATTAGTTGTGATTTTTACATAGTTTGTCCATTTTTCTTTGATTTTCCTCTTTGTTTTTCTTGATCAGTTTAGCCAATGGCTTATCAAAAACCTAGCTCTTGTATATATTAGTTTTATTGCCTTTTTATTCTCAGGTTTCCTCTATTTTTCCTCTGACTTTCAAGATTTCTTCTTCTGAACTTGTTTTAGGATCATAAATTGAAAGTTGGAAGGGACATTAGAAGTTATTTTACAGATGAAGAAACTGAAGCCCATAGAAATGATAATGATAATGACAGCTAGCATTCACATAGCTCTTTAAGGTTTGCAAGGGACTTTATATCTTTCCTCTGCTTTGATTTGATTTTATGCCATAACAGCCCTGTAAGGTATATACTATTATCATCCTCATTTTATAGAGAGGGAAAATGAGGCTGAGAAAGGTTAAGTGACTTCCTCAGGGTCACCTAGATATAAGTATGGGAGGCAGGATTCAAATTCAGGTCTTCCTGACTCCAAGTCCAAGACTTCACCCACTGTACCATCTAGCTTCCCTATGTCAATGAAATCTCAGTTTCTGGTCCCATGCCTAAGAGACGACTTGTAGCACAAGGCAGGATTGCTAATTTACTTTCTAGGCTCCCTAACTGCACATTTGACTCATTGATTCTCCCTTTTTTATTTTATTCAGCTAAGTTTTCAGAGATAAAATTCCTGACTACTTTTTAAAAAACCTAATCCTATAAGTTTTAGGATTAATAATATTTGATATAATTATTTGTTTCTAGGGGGCAGTTAGGTGGTGCAGTAGGGACAGAGCTGGGCCTAGAGTCAGGAAGCCTCATCTTCCAGAGTTCAAATACAACCTCAGTCACTTAATAACTATATGATCCTGGGCAAGGCATTTAACTGTTTCCTCAGTTTCCTCATCTGTAAAATGATTTGGAGAAGAAAATGGCAAACCAGTCCAGTATCTTTGCCAAGAAAACCCTAGATGGGATCATACAAAGTCGGACACAACTTAAACACTGAACAACAACATGATTTGTTCTTTGATCTACTCATTATTCAGGATGTCATTACATAGTCTTTCTATTTAGAGTTATATCTTTTATTTATATTTCCTTTATTACATTATGATCTATAAAGGTTGTATTTATTATTTCTACCCTTCTTATTTAAGATTCTTTTATGCCCTAAAATGCACAATCATTTTTTGTAAAGGTCCCACGGGAAGCTAAGAAATGTGTATTCCTCAATGTTCCCATTAAGCAAATACCATGGACCAAACAAATTTAACTTTTCTAACAATTTATATGACTCCATGTTTTCTATCCTGTTTGTATTTCTTTCATATTTACATTTGTATTTCATATTTATCCAGCACTAAGAGAATACAAGAGTCTCCTACCGTTACTGTGTTACTATCAATGTTACTTTGCAATTCTAGGTTTAAAAAAAATTGACACTATGCCATGTGGCACACACACACACACAGACACACACACACACACGTATATGTATATATATTTAATTGTATTCCATTTTGTATGGTGTCTTTAAGTCTCTCAACATCAACTTTGTTCTTGTATCTGAAATTATGGTTGAACTCTTGTTTTTTTAGTTACTTGACAAACTGTAAGATTTTGTTCCAATCATTCCTTCATTTTTACTCTACATGTATCTATATATGTTACGAGTTTTTTTCTTTATACATTATGGCAAAGTGGATAAAGAGTTAGATTCAGAGACAGGCTTCACCCTGATTTCATGTCCTCCCTCTGAACAGAGAGTCTACATGACCAGACAAGTCACTTACCCTTCCAGTTCTCTAGGCAAAGGGTCAGCAAACTACTGCCAGAAGGCCTCTCACTGCCAGCTTTTATACTCAGGAGCTACAATTTTTTTTATGTTTTAAAATACAATAAAACCTTATTTTTAAAAGGGTAGCTGGCTGGCATAGTGGACAGAGTGCCGGACCTGGAGTCAGGAAGATGTGAGTTCAAATCTGGTCTCAGATGTTTACTAGCTCTGTGATCCTGGGCAAGTCATTAAACGTCTGCCCATCTCAGTTTCCTCACATATAAAATGGAAATGATAACAACTACCTCCCAGGATTGCTGTAACCATAAAATGGGATATCTGTTACATGCTTTGCAAAACTGGAAGCACTATATAAATGCTAATAGTTGTTATTAAAAAAAAAACAACCCTGTTTCTACGACTAAATTGGAGAGAAAAATCTGTACCGGTAGCTCCCAATATCAATGAAATCACAGGTCCAGGACCTAGGCCTATAGCTTGTATGCAGCAAATTGTTGGGGTTCTTAAATCCATTTTTCCCCCTTTTCTTTCCCTTTATTAGGGAATTTAATCCCTTCACATTTCAGATCACAATTGTTAAGGGTTGTTTAACTTTTCCCCATTGAATATTTTTATATATTCTTTTCTTTCACCGAAGTCAGCACTTATAGTCTCTTTCCTTATAATAATTTGGTTTTGATATCCTTCCCTCAAATTAATTTTTTCTTCTGTTTCTAGATTTTTATGTACTATAAAAAAATCTATTGCTATAGAATGTTTATATTTTGTTCTACACTTCTGTCATTAGATTTGGTGATTTATTTCCTTCAAAGATCTACTTTCTTATTCATTGATACTTTTATTTAATTCTTCAATTATTCTCCAGAACTATTCCAGTTTCTTGGTGTTATTGAGTGGAGATTGCTGAATTTGTTATAATATCCTCATCTTCTTCATCTTCCAAATCTTAGAATTTGGACCTAATCTCATTAGTTGCAAAATAAATGTTCACTGAGATGATAGTTTCATTGAATGTTTTATTTCTCCCCCTCAGTAAGTTTTTATCTGGTTTTGTCATCCTGCTGGCTTTTCTACGGTGTCCTTGCTGTAGGTATATTTCTTCCTACCACTCTTTTCCCTTCTGTCATGGCAGTATGAAGAAGGTAAAGAAAAGGAATCTGATCAACTCTAGCGATCTATGATTGAAATGGTCTGTCCCTGGTCCTCAGTTCTGCCTCTCCTCACCAATACTGGAACCCAATTGCTGGTTCTTAAATTTTCTTTCTCATTGTCTCTCTTTCTCTTTATGATTCACTTTGGAGCTGACTTTATTTGACAGAGATTATTTACAACTCAAATCTACCACCTTTTCACCATCTCTCAACCTATTCCCTACTTCCTAGTTGAATTTAATGCATTTCTTTTCTTACACAAAATTTTTATCGATCTTTTGTTTTTACATAACCTACATATTTCCCAGGATACCCATAACCCACACCCTCCCAGACAGAGCTATCACTTATAATAAAGAATTTAAAAAGAAGAAAAACAATGTTCCACAAAACCAACCAATATATTTTAAAAGTGTGGCTTTATATACAGTATTTCATACTTATGGACCCTAACTTCTGCAAAAATAATAGAGGGAGGCGTCTTCTTAGGATGCAAGTTTGGTCATTATAATTTTATAACAATCAAATTCCATTATTTTTAGTTTAATGTATTTCTAACTGTTGAAAGTTATTTTTCTATGGTAAAGAGCTATGCTAACAAGGACATATTCTTTCCTTTGTAACAATTTAAGCATCCTCCTTTGTTATAAGAACACTTTACCTGCTCAAAGTAAAAATGCTTTGTAAGAAGCAAATCATTTCTCATTTGTTACACTCCAGCCAAATAGCTTAGGAGAGAAGGTATGTACACATACCTACTCATATATACGCATATACACATGTGTATATGTACACATATATGTATATAAAAATAGTATATGTTATCTGAATTGTCAACACACACCCGTTCACCACCAACTGACAGTATGTGTGTCACACATAAACTTCAGTTTACCTGTCTGTATCCTGTACTGCCTTTTTTGAGCAGTAGTTATTACGGACCTTGAAAATTCTCGATGCACTACATTATGTGTATGTCTGTGCGTGCAATCCTTTTTCTCCCTCTGAAACTCAGTTAAAAGTGAAGTTAATGAGATGCCCAGTCCCTCTAACACTTGCTTCGATGTTTGTATATTCTTTTCACCTACCCCATTTATGTGAAATAGTAAGGTCTCCTCCTTCCTCCTAGTTTCTGTACTAAAGTATTCCTTTTTTCCTCCTTTTCCCCCCTCTAAAACCCAACAAAACAGGACAGAACTATACTCATAGCCTGTATTTTTGATTTAACTCTCTCTGATCCTTAATGAAACAATGTCACTTCTCTCCCAATTTGAACGTATACTTCATCAGCATTTAGCCCCTTCTAACTGAACAAACACATTTACCTTTCTAGGTTTGTCTCTGTGCCGGTGTTTGAATTTCAAAGTTTCTATTCAGTTCTAGTCTTTTCATTAGGAAAGCTTAAAAGTCCTTTATTCTATCATAACTCTATTTTCCATGACAAATGCTGGAAGGGATGTGGGAAAATCGGGATACAAATGAACTGTTGGTGAAGCAGTGAACTAGTCTAACATTCAGGAGAACAATTTGGAACTAAGCCCACAAGAGCTAAAAAACTCTGCATACTCTCTGACCCAGCAATACCACTACTAGATCTAGATCCCAAAGAGATCAAATAAGAGGGGGAAAGAGCTATTCGTACAAAAATATTTATAGCAGCTCTTTTAGTGGTGGCAAAAAATTACAAATCAAGGGGAGGCCCATCAACTGGGGAAGGGCTGAACAAGCTGTGGAATATCACTGTGACAGAACACTATTGTGCTATGAGAAATGACAGCCTCTGATACTTACTAGCTGTGTAATCCTGAGCAAGTCACTTAACATCTGTTTGCTTCATTTTCCTCAACTGTAACATGGGGATAATAATAGCACCTATCTTGCAAAGTTGTTAAAAAAAAAAGCACTTAGTACAGTGCCTGACAAATAGTAGGTACTATATAGATGCTTATTCCTTCCTTCTACTTCACCACTTCACCAGTCACATTACCTTCCATTTTTTGGGGGGGGTGAGGCAATCGAGTTAAGTGACTTGCCTATGGTCACACAGCTATCACAATATCATGTGTCTGAGGCCACATTTGAACTCAGGTCCTCCTGACTCCAGGGCCAGTGCTCTATCCACTGAGTCACCTAGCTGCCCCTCACCTTCCATTTTCAAAAATAATTTTAATACTAAAAAATCCCACTTTATCAACCCAAATGAAAAAGTTTAAAACCTGATGCAACTGAATACAGCAATAAGCACAACTGGTAAAACCAGGTGCTAGGAGACCTGGGTTCAAGGACTTGTAGAATCTTGAAGAAATCATTCACCTCTCTCTGGCCCAGCTTCTTCCTTTGTAAAATTACAAAACAGAACTACATGATTTCAAAACTCTCACCCAGCACTAGCATTCTAGAATTTCAATAAATTCTAACATTACCATGTTACTATAATACTGTAGTAACATTACTATGACAGTTTCAGTTTTACAGAAAAACTGAATTTTCTTCAGATAATCTACTTCCTTTCTCATATAAAAACAATCCACAAAGCTGATTCATAAAGTTTTAAAGTTATCTTAGGGGTTTAGGATAAGTTTAAAACAGCACTTACAGAACTGCAAGGACCCCCAAGGAATGCTCTTGTACATCCAAAGCACCAAGCACTGTATCAAGATGGGATAAATTTTTTGCTAGAAGTTCTCCACTTTTGTTTATCAATTCACAAAGTTGAGTCATTTGCCCTAGAAAACATCAAATAATGGTATCGTTCACTCATGGCACAGTACTGACATGAAGGGGCAAAGACAACACTAAAAATATGAGAAAATAAAGAATAAACTGTAAGAATATATAATACTAAGTTGTAATAATTGAGGCTAATATCATAAACAAATGTCCTTCATACAAGGGAAGAATTTATAAATAAATATGAGATAGAGAGCATTACAAGACATAAAATGGATAAGTTTAATTACATTAACTTTAAAAAGTTTTGCACAAGCAAAACCAATGCAACTAAGATTAGAAGGAAAGCAGAAAGATAGGAAACAATTTTTACATCAAGTATCCCTGATAATGGCCTCATTTCTCAAATATATAAAGAACTGAGTCAAATTTATAAGAATATAAGTCATTCCCCAATTGATAAATGGTCAAAAGGTATGAATGGGCAGTTTTCAGATGAAGAAATCAAAGCTATCTATAGTTATATGAAAATATGCTCCAAGTCACTATTAATTAGACAAATGTAAATTAAAACAACTCTGAGGTACCACTTCACACCTATCAGATTGGCTAATATGACAGAAAAGGAAAATAATAAATGCTGGAGGGGATGTGGGAAAATTGGGACACTAGAGGTAGAGGTTGTTGTCCTTCATTCTCAAAGAAGACGAAAAGGCCATCACTATGTTGGAGTCAAGGTACAGTATGTCCGATTGTGGCTGATCAGACCAATATGAGCTCACAAGGCTCTACCACAGATCGGGCACAAATAGTCCATATGAACATTTGGAGAGGAGATGTCTCTAAATTTGCTCAGCAAACTATGCCCAAAGAGCAATCAAACTGTGCATACCCCCTGATGCAATACCACTAAGTATCCCAAAGAGATTTTTTAAAAAGGGAAAAGAACCTACTTTACCAAAAATATTTACAGCAGCTCTTTTTATAGTGGCAAAGAACTGGAAATTGAGGGGATGCCCATCAATAGGGAAATGGTTGAACAAGTTATGGTATATGAATTAATGGAATATTATTGAGCTATAAGCAATGATGAGGAGGGTGATTTCAGAAAAACCTGGAAAGACTTACATTAACTGATGCAAAGTGAAATAAGCAGAACCAGGAGAACATTGTACACAGTAACAGCAACATTGTGTGATGATCAACTATGAATGACTTAGCTATTCTTATCAACACGATGATCCATGACAATTCCAAAGGACTCATGATGAAAAATGCTATCCACATCCAGAGAAAGAACTAATGGAGTCTGAATGCAGATCAAAGCATTCTATTTTCACATTCTTTATTTTTTTCCACGATTTTTTTCTTTTGGTCCCTTTCTTCTTTCACAACATGACTAATATGGAAATATGTTTTACATGATTGTACATACATATAATCTATATCAAATCATTTACCATCTGAGGGAGGGAAGAGGTGAGAGAAAGGAAGGAGAAAATTTGGAACTCAAAATTCTTTTTAAAAAGAAAGTTAAAATTTGTCTTTACATGTAATTAGAAAAAAATACTATCTATCTAAATAAACAAACAAATGAACAAAGAAACAGATAGATTGATAGCCATCATTTTCAAATACTTGAGGAAATCACTAACAGTCAGGTTGTTCATTTAATTCTGTCAGCTTTCACAATTATCATGGCTAACACTACATATCATTTTCTCAAACAGTGCCAGCTGTCTATAAAACATATGCCATGGTCATAAATGTATATTAATACTTTCAAACAAATACTGAGTTCATGCAGTACATGTTTCAAAACAGATAAAGTTTGGAATTAGTCTTTGGAAGACTGCTTTTAAGTTTTCTTTCCAGATATTCTAATTTACAGTTTAAACTTCAAAACATCAACACTGACTAAAGATTCTAAGATTTGTGAACTATTACACATGTATATGTGTCTTTTCTGTCTCCCTGCTGGATTAAAAGCTCCTTGAAAATAGGGATTGTTGGGGATACAAAGAAACTACTTAGCAGTTCATTTGTCCACTTACCTTTTTGTAGATATTTTCTTTATTAAAGTGATACCTGTATGACATAATGATTAAGTGGCAATTAAAACAAATTTAAGATTTTATCTAGAAAAAAACTTTTTAATGCACCACTGCTAACAAAAAAAAAGACTGTAGCTACATCATAACCATAAACCAATTCTCAGCTAGCCATAATACAGGATATGTTGGCATTTAACTGATCAATATCTAATTTGATCTCTTACAAAATATAAGGAAAATGTTCCATGATAAGCAAGCTCCATATTCTTAATATACACTTTCACAATAGAACCACAAGTTCAACTGAAAAACACATTCCCTTTCTTAATCAACTGGATAGTTTCTTCTAGTTTGTAAAACCTTAACTTTTTTTCTATGCTCTCCTTTTAGGTAAAAAAAGTTTCAAATCAATAAATACCAAAGAAGAAAATAAGAATAAGAAATAAGAAATATGATGTTTAGGAACAATTAGCTTTTTGCCAATTAGGAAGCCAAAGCAGAACTGAGGTGTACAATAAGATATACTCTATAACTGGTGATAGAGAATCAGTCAATACTGGACTAAGTAGAAAAACTAATTTTGAAAACACATCCATTGGTAAAGTATCAATAGAAGGCAAAAGACACAAACTTTCTATTAATCATCGAAAATGAGAAATTCCATTTCCCTCATTTAATTGCTAGTGACTAAGGAACATGATGGATAGATTCAAATTTAATCAAAATAACTAAATACAACAAATGAGTCTGATATAACACGCTTCTTCCTATATGCTAAAGGCCCTCTATTAGAAAGCTAGGATTTGGGAGGTTAAAGAAATAGTAACATTTAAGTGTTTTATGGTAAATGAGTTTCTGATGATTAAATCAAGATATAAAATATGACTAAGTATTTCAAGTTTGAACTTTTGCTTCTCTACTTTTTGTCATAATATTATGATTAGCAGCAATAATCAAATTCAAACAAAAGTCATGGTAAAGAACTGGGAAGAAATAAAGACCCTGGCATGTTAAGGAAATTTACCTTATTGCTACCCCCTTCAATACTACAGACACAGAATCACAAAAAAAGGATCAAGTAGCAATGTATTCTACAGCAGTGTTAAAAATGGAAAGCCTTAGAAGTTAGAGAAGTAAAAACATGAGATCTCATCAAAGGTGCTTCTCTTCTTTGAGCAAAGTACTTATTCAAGAATTGATGCCACATAGCATCAGTTAAGAGAGGATGACAATCAACCAACCAATCAAAAAGCAAAATAAAGGTTCCTCTCTACCATGCACTGCTGTAGGTTTTGAGGATACAAATAAAAGAAGGAAATAATCCCTATCTTTAAGCTTTTAATCTAGCAGGGAGACAAAAAAGACACATATGTGTGTAATAGTTCGAAAATCTTAGTGACAATTCAGTTAGACCATCACCATTTATTTTGGAATGAACTGTCACTTGCTAAGTTGAACAAGTCAATTAGCCTCTCTAAGCCTCAGTTTATTCATCTGCAAAATGAAGGCTGGAAGAGATGATAAATATGATTCCTTCCAACTCCAAATCCTTTGATCCTTTGAAGTATAGATAAATTAAGCTACTTGTCCAACATTAGAATACATATCTGCAGCTGAACTGACATAACAATTAATATGCATGAAGCTTTACAGTTATAAAGTACCTAACCTTCATTATCTCATTTGACTCCAAACAATGTTAAGACGTAGCTACTGCAATTATCATCCCTATTTTACATCTGAGAAAACTGAAGTTCAAAGAGATGAAATTACTTAAGGCCATATAGGTAAGAAGCGTGAAAATGGAACTTAAATCTAAGTCTCCTCATTCCAAGTCTAGTGTTTTTACTATTGAATCATGATCCCTCTACCCTTGCTCCCCTGTCTAGTGCTGGGTTCCGAATGACGTACCTAAGATATGAAAATAAGTGAGGATATGAAGCAATGAAGCACAAATTGCCTCTCACAGAATCACAATCTTAACACTAAAGGAGATTTTGAGATATCTTGTCCACTTCCTACACAAAGCATGGATCTAATTTACAGTGTCTCAGACATGTGGTCACTTCCAAGGATACAGCACTCACTACACTCAAAGGCAGTCTAGTCCAGATTTGGGCCAGTTCTAATTAATAGTAAATTATTCTTTAGATTTCACTGGAATATGCCTCCCTGCGTCTTCTTTTGCCCAGAGGTCTTTGTTCTAGCCTTCAAGACAAGCAGAAAAAGCCTAATCATTCCACATGACAATTCTTCACTACCTCAAAGAAGCTGTCACATCCCCCTATATCTTCTCGTCTTTAGCCTAAACATCACTAATTCCTTCAATCTGTCTTCTTATAAGTCCCCTTACCTTCCTGATCACCCTCTTCCAGGCACATTCTAACTAGTCAATATGTGTTTTAAATTATGGCATATGAAACTTGGCACAATAACGTCATGATGATCTGAATAGGACATAGTGTAGTGGTATATTATAGTAGTGTGTGATGGACATTATCTTCCTTTTAGTGATGCCTAAGATCATATCAGCTCTAACACTGAGCTCACAGTTCATTTTAAGTCCTAGACGTTCATTCTTTCTCATTCAGTACTTGCCCAGTTGATTTTTTTAACCCAGGTCCAAGTCCCTACATTTATTTCTATTTCATTTCATCCTATTCATTTTGGCCACTAAACCAGGCTATCGAGAGCTTTTTAGTCTCAGCTCTGTCATCCTATGTATTAGCCAGTATCAACAACAAATCTGATCCAAGTTACTTCATTCAAGTAATTGATTAGAAAGCTGAACAAAATTTGGACCAAAGGCAAGAGTGTCACTATCGACCTCTTTCCAACACATAAATCAATACTTTAGGCCCATTTAAACTGTTATGTCATTTAGTTCACTTAATCTATGAGGATATGGTCAGAGACCTTGTCAAATTATTTCCTTCATCTACTAGTCTAAACCCTGTTAAGAGAGGAAATGAGATTAGTCCGGTATGATTTGTTCTTACAAACAGTTCACACTTAGCTCTCCAAAGTTTGCAAAGAGCTTTACACAACAATATCTCATTTAAGCCTCACAACCAACCTTTTAGGAAGGGCCACAGATGCTATTATCATTATTTTAGTGATTATCACTATTATTTTAATCATTATTTTAAGGATGAAAAAATTAAGAGTCAGGGATTTGAATTCAGGTCTTCTGGATTCCAAACCTAGTACTTTAACCAAAGTACATCTCCTTAATGAACCCAGGCTGACTCTTAATAATCACCTCTTCCCTAAGTGCTTTAAAAAAAAAAGCTCTCCCTTTAATAATTTTTTTCTAGAATTCTACCAGGAATTCTCTTCATTCCACCCTTAAAAACTGAACTCCATGAAGAAGGGCTTTTCGATCTGCTGCTTACTAGGAGGGGACCATGGCACAGAGTTGTAGATTCTAAAAAAGGGGGCAGCAGACACAGCATTCCATCTCCTGCAGCCATGCTTTTGCACAGGCTGTGTCCAGTGCCTAGACCTCACTCTACCCACCTCCACCTCTTGTAAACCTGGGCTCCGCTCAAGCCTCTGCAAAGACAGAGAAGCCGTTGGTGCACATACCCTTTAGTAATCGCAGGGAAAGCAGACAGTCCAGGTATGGCCACGGGGAGCAGGAGACCATAATTCAAATTATATTGTGAGCCTTCTTCCCCGAGAAGCTCCCAAAGGAGTATCGGGTAAGACTGACAGACGTTCGGCCAATCATGGGAAGGGACGGGGGACCCCCCTCGCCAATCGCTGTGCGGAACAAAGCGATGGCGGAAGTCACCGCCCAGCAAACTGTCAAGCAAAGCGACTCTCTCTCCGAGGGGCATCCAGCCTGGGTGCCAAGAGGGGATCGGGAATGGAAGAAGAGGAGGAGATCGTTCTCTCGTCTCCTCCCTCCACAAACGGCTGGTGGAGGCGGGGCCGGGGGAGGGCTTAAGGGGGAGGGGAAGTCTCCCGGGGCAGACCAGCCGGCGGAGACACCAGCTGGGCCCCTGCCGGAGGAGGCGGCTGCGCCGCGGCTCGGCGCGGGAGCCAGACGGGAGGTGGGAGGGCCAGGCCTACGGGAATGAATGAGGCTCAAGCGACGGCGCCTCCCCTACCCGGGTCCCCCCTGCCTGCCGAGGACAGTAAGCGACGGCCCAGGTGAAGGAGTGTGGGCCGGGCCGGACCGGGCCGGGCCCGGCGGCCTGGAGACTGACCTTGAGCGGAGAGCTGCCGGACGCTGTTCACGAACTGCTCCAGGGCGGACGCCATGTTCATCCCGGGGAGGAAGGGAATGGGGAGACGGGGGGAAAGGGCAGAGGGAGGCCCAGGCGGCGGCAGCTCCTCGGGCGGGAAAAGGTTGGAGCTCTGTGGACTAGCAGCGATTGACCGTGGTGGGGGGAGCCCCTCAGGAACTCCCGCTTGCCGTCACTTCCGCCGAGGAGGTATCGCGAGATTACCGCCGCGCGGAGCCTGGTTACTGTTGCCATAGAAACAGTAGTTCGCCTTCTCAGAAAGCTGATGGCTATTCTATGGTCTGAGGAAGAGGAGCTGAGAAAAGTTCCAAATCCGGGCACCGGCAGTAACATCATCGTGGGATGCTCCTAGGTGTAGAGCAGGAAAGGACCTTGGGGGGTCATCTAGTCCAACCCTCACCCACCTTATTTTTACAGAAGGGGAAACTGAGGGTCAGAGCCACGAAAATCGAACCCAGGAGCTGCTCTCTTCCCGCAGCAAAGTTGCAGTGACTCGTGTTACTCTGAGATACCTTGTCCCAATATATATATATATATACATATATATATACATACATATATACACACACACACACACACACACACACACACACACACACATACATACATGTATTGTCCCTATTAGGCAGCTGAGTGTGGAAGTGGTTAAATCGCTGGGCCTGGAGTCGAATGTGACCTCAGACACTTCCTTAGCTGTATGATCATGGGCAAGTCACTTACCCTCTCAAAGGCTCAGATGGGGATAATAATAGCCCTTACATTCCCATGGTCGTTGTGAGGGTAAAGTGAGATATTTGTGAAGCACTTGGCAAACTTTTAAAATGCTATATAAATACTATTATTACTATTATTGTTCACCAGGACACCACCAAACTTCTATTCACCCAGGCTCAAGACCTAGGTGTCATCCTTGCCTCCATACTCTCATGCCCCATATCTAATCTGTTGCCAAGTCTTTTCAATTCTACTTTCATAACCTTTTGGAGTGGCAGCTTCCTCATCTGTAAAACAGAGATTATAACAGCACCTACCTCCCAGGGGCGTCGTGAGGATCAAATGGGATAATTGTAAAATGCATAGCACAGTGCCTGACACATAGTAAGTGCTATATACATGTCGTCGTCATCATCATCATCATTATTACATTTAACATTACAAATTCCCATTTCTCCTGTTACACTACCACAACCCTGGCATAGGCTTTCATTACCTTATCCTTGTAATACTGCAATAGCCTTTGGTTGATCTCCTTGCCTCTCTGCCCACTCCAGTCTCAGTGTCAAACTGAATTTCCTAAATTGCAGATCTGACCATGTTACCACCCCACTCTTCATTCAATAAACTACAGTAATCCCTATTCCCTCCAGGATCAAATATAAAAATCCTTTCTTTGGCTTTTAAAGCCTTTCATAACCTGACCCAAACCTACCTTTACAATTTTCTTTTTTAAAATAGTTTCTTTTGTATTATCAAGCATTTATTTTTTTTCTCCCACTTCTTACCTACTGAAAAAGAAGGGAAGAAGGGAAGAAAGGAACAAGAAAGAAAGGGAATAGAAAGGAAGGAAGGAAAGAAAGAAGAAATCAAGAAAGAAAAAAAACGACTCATTATATAAGTACATTCAAGCAAAACAAATTTCCAAGTTGACCGTATCCAAAAATGCATTTGTTGCTCTGCATGTATGTCCATCATTTCTGTCTTCTTAAACCCTTTACCTCTCCACATACTCTGTGATACAGGGAAATTGGCTTCTGTGTTGTTCCACCCACAGGACATTTAAGCTCCCTATTCTTTGAATTTTTGAAGTCTTTCTCCAAGGCCTAGAATTGTCTCCCTAGTTTCCTGATTCCTGGCTTTCCTGTTTTCCTCCAACTCCCAGGTAAAATCCTCTCCTGTAGGAGAATCCTTTCCTGGTGCCGCCTCCCGCCTCCCCCCCCCCCCGCCCCCCCAACCCAATGATTATCTCTAATTCATTGATATTGTTGTCTCCCTCTCTAGAAGGTGAGCTCCTTGAGGGCAGGGACCATGTTCATGTAAACACTAGTTGCTGAATGAATGAATGAATGAATGAATGACTTCCCAATCTGATTCCTGCCTGTCTTTCCAGGCTGATTACACTTTAGTAATAACTAGCCCTTTCATTTTCTGATTTAGCTTCACTAGCATACTTACTGTTCTTCAAACAATAATACATCCTTTTTCCCTTTCTGGCCCTTTGCACTGGCTGTCTCCGTGCCTGGAACATTTTGCCTCTTCACCTCCTCCTTTTAGTTCCTTGGCTTCCTTTAATCCTCAGCTGAGTCTACTGCCTGCAAAAGACCTTCCCCCCCAAAAAAAGACCTTTCCTAGCCCCTAAGCTCTTCATTCCTTCTCTTTCAGATTACTTCCCATCTACTTTGTATATATTTTGTATGTACCAAGTGATTTATATGTTGTCCCTGACATCATAATTTATTCTGACTGGGTTGTATTTTGTTTTTGGCCTCCCCTGACACAGCTCTTAATAAATGCTTGTTGATTGACTGACTGACATACTCACCTTTACATATGACATTCTAGCCAAACTAGCCTACGTGTTGTTTCCTCTACACAGCATTCCATCTCCTGCAGCCATGCTTTTGCATAGGCTGTGCCCAGTGCCTAGACCTCACTCTCTACCCACCTCCACCTCTTGTAAACCTTAGTTCTCTTCAAGGTTCAGCTCAAGCATCAGCCCCTTAGAGCCCTCTCCTGATTCCCTCAATTGTTAGTGTCACAGTGATTTTGTATTTATTTTGTATCCTGCTTATATTTGTTTATCTGTAAACATACTGTAACCCTCAGTAGAATATAATCTCCTTAATGGAAAATTTTGTATTTGTATCTCAGTGCCTGACATGCAAGGATGCTTAAGAAATGTTTGCTGATTGATGGTGAACATGAAGAGTATATGTAGAGTATATTAAAGTACATTACAAGAAAGCAAATACAAAGCAGGAGCAATTCGAAGAAAGTCAACAAAAAATATATAAGACTGAAAAAGAAAATAGGCTGATCACATGTCAAAAATGAGGGATAACTGATGGATGGGTGGCCCACATGCTCCTCTCTTCCAGCTGTATCCTCCATATGTTAGGAGAATTCAAGGAAGACCCCCCCCAGCATGTTGGGTGGACCCCTTGTGTTGCACTTATAGGAAGACTTGGATAAGATTTGTATTAGATGGGCAGACACGAATGAGTTGCCATATGTGTTGATGAAGGGCAGCCTACATCAATGAAATCATTGGCTCATTGGAATATTTGAACTATAAGGTTAACTGACACAGAAATAAATAATGCTTCTTATTCCATTTGGCTGCCCCCCCACCTCCATGGTGGTGCTACAGAAAGGTTTCCTGAACTCAGTGGGAAGTTAGGATAGTTAATATCTGAATAATCCTCCCAATGCAAAGATTCTGTGAAAATAAAACTGGGTTGATCGAAGAGACTGTCTCAGAAAGAAGGGTAAGGAAAAATTATAATAAAAATGACTAAAGGTGTGAGTCTGAGTGGTTTGAAGAATGAGGATGGCATTATAGAAATAACTAGTGAGGGAGAAGAGCTTTTGGATAAGGGGCAAAAAAGCTTCAAGACTGAAAGCTGCTCTAGGGGAAAAAAAGGCCAGGAGGGATTCCAGAACCACTAGGTCAGCTGTAGAGGATCTACACAACAATCCAAATCTGACTCCAAACAAGTTTGGTCAAAGGGCAACACTTGAGGATCTAGAGGGCCATATCTGCCTTCCAAACCAAAGGCTGCCCACCCCTTGAGCTAGGTCATTCACCTTTCTTATACCTAAGTTTCCTTGTCTGAAAAATAAGAGTATTGGGCTAGATCACAGGTGTCAAACCCAAACCAGATTAAATGTAATTTGGGAATATTTGGGAAATTAAAATGCAATAAAACATAGAGAGTATTAACATGTGTTTTTCTAAGTCAACATGCAGTCTGAATGGACCCTTATATATGATTTAGTGAGTTTGATCACTGGACCAAGTTATCTTTGAAGTCTCTTCCAACTCTAAATACACGATGCTAGTCAGAGGTTATTTTTTCAAAGTTGAAAAGCATCTGTTTTGGGTGTACTATGCTCTTGCTCAACAGTTCTGAAGAAGAGTCTGAGGTTCTTACTTGACCATTTACTCTTCCCAATGAAAAGATAACCAACTACATAAGGTAATATATAAGTCCCAGAGGAGCACTAAGAATTGTAAACATTTAAATGAGTAGTAAGAATGGAACTAATTCCATGCTTGTAAATGAAAAAGATAGTCTATATAGTTCCCACTAGCTGTTTTGGTTGGTTTTCACCCAAGAATATTATGCTTCTTCCAGTATAAACTAAACAGAAATCTCATCTTGGAGACTGCCCTTGTTCTGATACTCAATACCTACTCTGTACCTTCCCTTGCCTCTCCCCTCTGATTGCAAGGTGGAAAAACTCCCCCCAAAGTCTCTCTTTATGGAGGGCTCAGAATTTTCCAACTAATTTTCAATTTCCTCCAGCAACTCCACTTGGTTTTCATTCCACAAACACATTGCCCTGAAGCCCACGTACCCTCTGGCAACTCCTTACTTTTCCTCTTCCTTTTATGTATTATCTTTTCCCATTAGCTTGTAGGGTCCTTGAGGGCAGAAACTATCTTTTTCTTATTTGTATTCCTAATATTTAGCACAGTGCCTGGCACATAATAGACATTTAATACATTTATTATTGATACCTACAAGAAATCTAGAGTTAATGATCTGTATGAAGGCTAGCTTGCTCTAACAGAGTGCTTTAAAAGACATTGAACCCAGGATCTCCACGTTTAAAAGCAACTAGGTGTTGAAGTGAAGAGTGCTGGGTCTAGAGTCAGGAAGAGTCATCTTCCTGAGTTCAAATCCAACCCTAGACACTTCCTAGCTGTGTGACCCTGAGCGAGTCACCTAACCCTGTTTGCCTCAATTCTTCATCAGCAAAATGAGCTGGAAAAGGAAATGGCAAACCACTCCCAGTATCTTTGCCAAGAAAACCCCAAAATGGGTCAGAAAGAGTCAGACAAGAAAGGATTGAAGAACAACAACAAATAAAAGACTTTAGCATTTCCTCTGTCATAATTATCTTTATAATTAGCTGAAACACTCTACATTCCCAAACTCACATTTCATTATTTTGCAGTTTAATGGT